GGAAGGGAGAGCAAGGAGAGAAGAGATAGAGCGAGGGAGGAAGGGAGGTTAAATGGAAGGGTAGGAGGAATAAAGGGAAGAAGGGAAGGAATAACGAGCTAGGGTGAGAAGAGAAGGATGAAAGAAAGAGAGAGGGAGAAGCTGGGAAGAAAGGAGGGAGGAAGGGGAGGGAGTCATTGAGTGAGTGAATGAGTGAATGAGAAAGAGAATGAGAATGAGAGAGATAGTAGAAAAGAGGGAGAGTTAAAGAGAGAGAGAGAGAGAGAGAGAGAGGGGAATGGAGGGGGGAAAGAGAACGAGAGAGATGAGAGAGAGAAAGAGAGGGCATGTAATACATATCACACACACACACACACATACATATACATGAATATACATGTCAGTAATTGTGCGATTGAGTTTATATAACAGAATGTACTTCACTTAACAGGACATGTGCGCCCTTCGGAAGGAACAAGAGCGGACTTCAGAGACCATCAATGCCCTTGTTGAGGTGAGACAACAATGATTTATATTAATTATTGTCAAAATGAAAGTTTACGCAGGACATAGGTAAAAGGAATATACTTTTCCCTGTTTTCTTTTTACGTATATTTGTATTTTGTTCTCTCGCCTCCTCCTTCTTTTTGTTTTCTTCGTTTTCTGATTTTCCAGCTCCTCCTCTCCCACTTTTTCCTCCTCCACATCCTCCTCCTCCTCCTCCTCCGTTCCTCCTCTTCCCCTTCCTCCTTCACTACCTTGTGCTGCAGACCATTTTCCTTTCAATTTTTCTTTAAATAATAGCTGCGAATTCATCTCCAGTCGCTAAATCTACCTTCGTTGTTTTGCAGAGCCAAGAAAAATTGAACAAAACCCTCGAGCTGCTGATAAGACTGCTGACAGCGCTAGATAGCCTGCCGTCAGGGACTTCGCGAGACCTGCAGAGAGCATTCGCGACGTCTTGGGTCAAGGAGGCCTCCGCCAGGACTCAGGCGCGCCTGTGCACGAGGCAAGGCGGCGTTTTTGTGTTTTGTTTTGTTCGTCTATTCTGTCCTCTTGTCCTTTTCTTTGTGTTGGTTTATAGGTATACGGTATATATATATATATATATATATATATATATATATATATATATATATATATATATATATATATATATATATAAACAAATACAATTAAAGAATCAAGCAGGCACATGTACTGCATGTACAATACATAGGGAAATGTTTATTCATCAGATCAGCATTATGAGAACAGCTCTGAAAACCAGGTAATGTTCATTTAGAAACATTTATAGCAACTTCCATATGGTTTGCATCTTTGTAGGTTTAAAAGGTAGCAATAGTATCGTTGTACGTATTTTTTTTCTTTGGAAATAAATAAAAAATGGCGAATGGGAGAAATCTGTGAACGATATGCAAATATCTCGTTTAATCTTTTTGGGGGCATTAGCTGATCGAAAATAAAATTTGAAGAATTCACTTATTCTATCGTTTTAACTTTTGCTTATTTTTTTTCTCATAATAGGAAGAAATACAACAAAAATACGTTTTTCAGTGCTTCAGAACAGAATGAAACCAGTTCGACAACAGTAACTGTCCTGAGCCCTCGACGGCACATACCCATGTGTTTCTTTTCCTTTTTAGCTTATAAAAAGTTCTAACTTCAAATAGCTATTTAATAATAATAAAAAAAACTGACATAAAAAAAAATTTGTGATAGAAAACCGAAAGCCATTAGAACTGATTAATGCCATGAAAATTATAGTTTGACAAACCTTTACCAGTTCATTCGATGGCGTAGATAAGATAATGTCCCGCGAAACATCAAAACTGTTGCTACAAATCCGACCGCCTTCCACCTGCTTGCCTTCATTACTGCATAATAATCCTATAAAAGACCTTAAAGACCATTTCGATCTTGTCCTGCATCGAGCCATATAGGGAAATGCTTTTCACAAGCTCATGACAACTAAAGTCACGTCACTATAAATCCCTCCATTATGTAGTAATGGCTGAGAATTAGCCTTCTCGTGTGTGCTTCCGCTGTCAACCACTCTCTAGTCTTTAGCTAAGATGAATGTTTTTTTTCATTAATGGAGATCTGAAAGGATAAGTTCACGGCATGTATTAAGAGACCCTCGCCTGAAACGCACAAAATCAGACGAAATATGAGGCGACTTCAGGCGCTCTGATAACTGCATGCGAGCTCCACCCGACAGAGGCGAGGGCCATCAACGATCGTCGACTCCGCCTCAAGGGCCTCGCCCCTTTGGGCTCATCCTTAATACGGCGCGGTCGCATTGAGGATGAGCCGAGGTCGGGCACGTCCGTAGCTTCCCACCTTTTGGGAACGCACGAAGATCACCCCCAGAGGCCTCGTCTTGCGGAGACTCCTTTCGGCTGCAGTTCCCCCTGACAGATTGACCTGCCTGTGGCGCCCAGCCAGTCTACCGCGTTAATAGGCGAACCGCGTCATGTTTCCAGACTGGCAGCGCTATAGATTATTATACACATTATCCCAGCCGGTTCAGTTGCGACGTTTGCTTGGTGACGCCACGTTCTTGGCACCTCCCCCCCCCCCCCCGCCCCCTTGATAATAATCGATGGTCCAGCCGCTCGTGGGGATGTATTGCAGGGCCATAACTTATTGCGCAGCACGTTATCAGGTCGAAAGGATAATGATAATTATATCGGTCACAACCACTTTCTGTCCAGTAGCTATATATATATATATATATATATATATATATATATATATATATATATATATATATATATATATTGAGTGTGTATGTGTGTGCGTGTGTGTGTATTATGAATATGGAAGTATGTAAAGTATAGAAAGAGAAACAGTTAATTAACAGAGCGAAATGAGACCAGTCAGAAACTGTGGGCTAATATACAGGACACCGTGTTTTGCAGGCTCCCTCAGGGCTAACCTGTGCAGTCTGCAGGTCGACCTACAACGCGCACGATCGTCGTCCGCTTATCTTCTCCAGCTGCGGCCACACCTTCTGCGAGGAATGCCTTAGTAAGGTTTCTGTTGTTTGTCTTTCTGTGAAATCTGTGTTTGGCTTAATGTCTGGTTTCTTTCCTGGTTTGTGCTTCTTTGTTTTATTTTTTTTATTTATTTATTTATTATTATTTTTTTGTTTGGCGTTGCGTTGTGTCTTTGTTTTCAGTGTCTTGGTGCCTCGTTTTTTTGTTTGTTTTATTTCTGCAATAATTAATATGTTGCTGTAAGAGAAGATACAACGGGTAAAATATATACATATATGTGTGTTTGTATGTGAAATAACGTTTAAATGAATGAATAAATGAATAAGTAGATGAATAAATAGATACATACGTAGATAGAATAGATAAGAATGTCTTAGAAATAATAAATTAGAAAAATGTAGATAAATAAGTGAAATGAATAGATACATTTAGAGAAGGCTTAATGAGTAAATGGAAAGGCAATGAAAATCTTTCCTTCAAGGGACGGAGAACCGCAAGAGTGTGTTCCAGTGCCCTTCTTGCCGGCAGGACCGCGACCAGTTCTGGACGCTGAAGCCTAACTTCGCGCTGCTCGACCTGCTCGAAGCGGTACGTGATTTTCTTCTTTTTTTAATGTATGATTTGTGCGTGTATGTATATGTGTGTTTGTGCGTGTGTGCGTATGTATGTGTGTGTGCGTGCGCGTGTGTGTATGTGTGTTCGTGTGTGTGCTCATGTGCGTGGGTTGGTTAGTGCATGTGAAATTAACCTTGGCTAATGGAAAGAGGTCCTTCCCAGGAGATCAGGGACGACGAAGACGACGAAGACGACCTCAAGAAGGGTCTCCGCATGGACGACGACGACCTGCTCTCCCTCGCCCTCCACATGTCCGCACAGGAGGCCGAGAACAAGGAGTACAGGCGTCAGGTCGCCGCCTTACTCGCGCGAGAGCCCGCTGGGGCCGGCGACGTCCCCGGAGCGGAGGGCGGCTGGCAGGAGGAGGCAGAGGGGCGTCCGGGGAAGGAGGAAGCTTACTGCCATGAGGAACTTGAAGGTCTTGATGGGAAAAAGCTCCGCCTTGAGAAGGAGGAGGCTGAAGGAGAGAGGAAAACATGCTTCTGGTTGGAGGAGGAAGAAGAACTGCAACTGGCCATGGCTATGTCACTATCTGTAAGCATTTTCTGTTCACTATATAACATCAAATATCACTTTAGAGTTGAGTCTCCCCTGTCTAGTTACAATGCTCTTATATAACACATAATTCTTAACACTGCGATACACAGATCATTATTTGCAACTCATTATACTTGTATGTGAGGGCATTTACATGTATGCCAAATAAATGCTCCATGTCAGTGCCAATTAGTGACGTTTTACAAAATGGCCTTTTATTCCAGCTCCAGACAAGCGAGTAAGAGGCAGCAGATTATTATGATACAGAGTAAACGCGCTGCAGCATCATGAAGAAGAATTGAAGCCCTAAACACAAACACACACAATGTTTGTGGAAACCTCACGTTGGCAGTGTGATTATGCGGTATCCGTGAATTGTGGTCACCTACATTTATATAAGAAGTACAGCTTATTAAGTGATTATGTATAGTTTATTATTGTATAATATTCATGGGAAATATTATGCAGGCACATCACATTTATTTACTCAGTTGATTTTCAAAGAATCTAAATGGATTCTGACTTTTTGTCATCCATACATATGGTCATTGACTGTCCCAAAACCTAAAGATAGTCCCTGTTAACAAAACTAAAAAGGTTTCACAGATAAAACTCGATTGCAATATCTCTTTAGGCTGTAAGAAAAGAAAAAATCTTGCAACTGGAGCACCAAGAGAAATCTGGAAGAAAGGGTGTTGCATTAACATTAATTTCTACACCTGCACCAAAT